AAACACTCGCCGATAGCGATGTCATGGTTATAAAAGTACATAAGCATGCACAAAAGTACTCACGCAATAGTGCATTCGCAAAAAGGATCATGAAAACACAAACTACAATCCTAGGACATAAATACAAATCAACAAACATGCACAAACACACTCGCTCAAATGGACTTCCACAAACGTACATGTAAACAAACATGCGCAAAAGTGCATTCGCAGCAACGTTCTTAAAAACGCGAACTACAACACTAGGACTTTAATACGCATAACCAAACCACATCAAAAACACTAGATACAAAAGATACAGTGGAGTGTAGAAATAACACTCTACGTTTACGTTACGTGGAATTTTTTTCGGATTATTTTATATTTCTGTTTTAGGTACAAATCGAAAATTAGGTGTCCATGAAGCAAAAATTATCAAAGAATAAGAAAAGAGTTGCAACTAGGAAAAAAAAAATCAAATTAGAAGAGAGAATACCTCAACTTCTTTGGTAGTGTCCACTAAGTCGAGCATAACTTACTCATCCGGACTCCAAATGAACTTGTTCTAGCGGTATTAGCCAGCTATTTCAGCTGGCTACAATTCCTGTCTAACGTCAAATTTCCATATTCGGACTCGAACATGGTCAGTATTGGAGTCCAAAAGCGATCATGAAAATACGTGCTACAGTTCGAGGACATGAATGCGCATCAAGAAACGTGCACAAAAACACTCGCTAGGAAAGATACACACATAAGTAAAAGCATGCACGAAAGTACTCACGCAAAAGTGCATTCGTAAAACGGATCATGAAAACACAAACTACAATCCTAGGACATTAATACATATGAACATACATGCACAAAAACACTCGCTAAAATGGACATGCACAAACGTACATGTAAAAAAACATGCGCAAAAGTGCATTCGCTGCAACGTTCTTAAAAACACGAACAACAACTCTAGGACTTTAATACGCATAACCAAACAACAACAAAAACACAAGATACAAAAGACACAGCGGAGTGTAGAAATAACACTCTACCTTTACGTTTACGTGGATTTGTTTTTGGATTAATTTATATTTCTCTTTTAATTGGTGCATTTAGTATCTTATAGGTACAAATAGAAAATTAGGTGTCCATGAATCAAAAATGATCAAAGAGTAAGAAAAGAGTTGCAATTAGGAAAATAATATAAAATTAAAAGAGAGGATCCCTCAAAATCTTTGGTAGTGTCCACGAAGTCGAGCATAACTTTCTCCTCCGGACTCCAAATCAACTGGTTTGGGCGGCATTAGAAAGCTATTTAAGCAGGCAACAATTGCTGTGTAACGTCAAATTTCCAAATTCGGACTCGAACATGGTCAAAATTGGAGTCAAAAAGCGATCATGAAAATACGTGCTACAGTTCGAGGACATGAATGCGCATCAAGAAACGTGCACAAAAACAATCGCTAGAAAAGATACACACATAAGTAAAAGTTCATAAGCATGCACAAAAGTACTCACTTAAAAGTGCATTCGCAAAAAGGATCATGAAAACACAAACTACAATCCTAGGACATTAGTACAAATCAACAAACATGCACAAACACACTCGCCCAAAAGGACATGCACAAACGTACATGTAAAAAAACATGCGCAAAAGTGCATTCGTAGGAACGTTCTTAAAAACACTAACTACGACACTAGTACATTAATACGCATAACCAAACAACATCAAAAACAATATATACAAAAGATACAGTGGAGTGTAGAAATAACACTCTACGTTTACATTTACGTGGATTTTTTTTTGGATTATTTTATATTTCTATTTTAATTGGTGGATTTGATATCTTATAGGTACAAATCGAAAATGAGGTGTCCATGAAGCAAAAATTATCCAAGAATAAGAAAAGAGTTGCAACTAGGAAAATAAAATCAAATTAGAAGAGAGAATACCTCAACATCTTTGGTAGTGTCCACTAAGTCGAGCATAACTTACTCATCCGGACTCCAAATGAACTTGTTCTGGCAGCATTAGACAGCTATTGCAGCTGGCTACAATTTATGTCTAACGTCAAATTTCCATATTCGGACTCGAACATGGTCAAAATTGGAGTCCAAAAGCGATCATGAAAATACGTGCTACAGTTCGAGGACATGAATGCGCATCAAGAAACGTGCACAAAAAAACTCGCTAGAAAAGATACACACATGAGTAACAGTACATAAGCATGCACAAAAGTATTCACGCAAAAGTGCATTCGCAAAAAAGATCATGAAAACACAAACTACAATCCTAGGACATTAATACAAATCAACAAACATGGACAAACACACTCGCTCAAATGGACATGCACAAACGTACATGTAAAAAAACATGCGCAAAAGTGCATTTGCAGCCACGTTCTTAAAAAAACGAACTACAACTCTAGGACTTTAATATGCATAACCAAACAACAACAAAAACACTAGATACGAAAGACACAGCGGAGTGTAGAAATAACACTCTACGTTTACGTTTACGTGGATTTGTTTTTGGATTAATTTATATTTCTCTTTTAATTGGTAGATTTAATATCATATAGGTACAAGTAAAAAATTAGGTGTCCATGAATCAAAAATGATCAAAGAGTAAGAAAAGAGTTGGAATTAGGAAAATAAATCAAATTAGAAGAGAGGATCCCTCAACATCTTTGGTAGTGTCCACGAAGTCGAGCATAACTTTCTCATCCGGACTCCAAGCCAACTGGTTCGGGCGGCATAAGGTAGCTATTTCAGCAGGCTACAATTGCTGTCTAACGTCGAATTTCCAAATTCGGACTCGAACATGGTAAAAATTGGAGTCCAAAAGCGATCATGAAAATACGTGCTGCAGTTCGAGGACATGAATGCGCATCAAGAAACGTGCACAAAAACACTCTTGATACGATCCACACAAGCTCAAAGATGAAGAATTGGAAGAAGACAAAACGAGTGAGATTAATGGAGCTGTTCGTGTTGGAGTTGAAGAGTAAATGTTTGAATCAGGCCTTTGAAGAGTTGTTGTTGAGGAATTGGAAGAAAAGGAAGAGGAAAATTCCATGCATACGAGATTCTCGCCTATTCTGGCAGAGTTTACCATTCGAGTTATAACTCTCGCATCTGAAGTCCATTTATTCTGATTCAAAATGATTCGGAAAGCTAACTGAAAGATCTACAACTTTAATGTTTTGAGCAAAGAAATATTTGAAGTGGAGAAGTGTTGAAATTGAGATTTAATTGCATGCACATGCACATCCCAATGTCGCGAGTTAAGAAGGGTGATCGAGAAGCCGACTTGAAGATCAAGTTATCTAATTTATTTATGCACGTTTTTAATTTAGTATTTATTATGTTTTTATTATTTTAGAGTCTTTTATGGTTAGGATTTGCTTATTTATTTATTTCCTTATTATAGTTTAGGTGGGAGTCCTTTTCCTTGTGAAAAGGGAGCCTTTTTAGATCTTATAAATGGGTTGCCAATTTGGCTTATTTTAAGGGACGAATTTTGATGATTTAATTGAGCATATTCTCTTTGGTTCTTTAAGAACTCTTCGAACATATCGGTGGATTCCGTTTGTTCACCCGACTTATCAATCGATCTTTCACAATCGATTGTGGCGTCTTCACATACCAAGGTTCTTGCCTCTTTATAGGCAACGGGTCGCGGTTCCACCCTTTGAATCTTTATTTTTGGATGTTTTCGATCTTGCTTCCGCGTAGGGTATTAGGGCCTCGTAACAAGTTCTACGGGGTTCGTATCAGTTGGTATCAGAGCCAACATCCAAAACGGGTTTCACCTATCTTTATTTTTTTGTTGTGTCTTCTAGTTTATCTCACCTATTCTTGAGTTGTGTCGTCTAGAGTCTTCGTCAACAAAAAAAAAAAATTCGAATTTTTGCTTTTATTTCAAGTTCTTTTCAGCCCCAAGATAGGGTTTGGTATGTCCGTGTCAAAAAAAAAAATTCGAAATTTATCTTTTATTTATAGTTTTTTAGGTTTTGTTAGAGTCGTTAAAAAAAAAAAAAAAAAACAAAATTTCCTTTGATCATGTCCGAGAAGGGCGGTTATAAAGGAGAAAGAATTCAGCAGCGTAGGATGTTGCCAATAGATAAACGCTTCAAGGAACTCCAAAATCGGATGGAAGGAATTGTTACCCAACTACAGGAACTACGCAAAGATCAACATGTTCGAGGGCCATACGTATGACGTGATGTTCACCAACCAGTTATACCTTATCCTGATAAAGAGGTAGCTCGTGATGAAAATTTTGGTGTGAATGCTACAAAATCAAGGAGGGAGAGTATGGGACGAGGGTCAGGATTTGATAGATCGAGCCGAGGATATTTTGGTCGAGAAAGAGATGGAGTTTATCAAAACCGTAGCTCAATGAAATTGATTATACCACCCTTTCAAGGTAAGAGTGATCCCGAGGCGTATATTCAATGTGAAAGAAAGGTTGAGCACATATTCGATTGTGATTACTATTCTGAAAAGAAGAAAGTGAAGCTGGCCGTCGAAGCGTTCATTGACTATGCAATGAGTTGGTGGGACCAATTTGTCTTAACTAGGCGGCGTTGTGATGAGCCACCAATTGATGATTGGGATTCCATGAAGGCAGCTATGAGAAAGAGGTTCGTTCCTGCCCATTATTATAGGGAATTGGAGATGCAAAGCTTGAGGCAAGTTACTACGTCAAAAGAACGGAGTTCGCCGAGGTGGGAATCGCAAAGTAGTTCTGCAGCGAGCATGGTGCAAAAGCCTAAAAGACATAAATAAAAAACCGAGCAGCAATTCAAGACTAAGAGAGGAGAGCGTCTGAGCAAGAAATTCGTGAACTTGTCGTCCAACTTTGAGGATGATTCTACAAAGGAGATACAGATCATTTACGTGTCACCATCTCAGAGGAATGATAACCTTGAAATTCCCATGGAGGAAAATGTTCTGGACATCGTTGAAAGCATTGGTGCAAAAATTGAAGTGATGCAAGACGATATTGTTGAGTTGCAACCCAAGGAGGATCAAAAGTGCAAAACTGCCCCACCACTCGAAGAAAAAAATGAAGATTCGGATTCGAGGACGAATCCTTTTGAAGAGGTGGAGAATGATATGAGCCAGCCATGCATCGAAGTTAATGCCGAGCTAAGCAAAGTGCAAACTCTCAGTGTGAATGTTGATGAGATGGCGGTGCCTAGAGAGATGCTTCAATCATTCTCTATACAGAGGTTGAACGCATTGGACCTTCAAGCTACAAAATACTCGTGTTCATATCGACTTCAATGGATGCTAGATAGTGTGTTTCGCGATGTGGTGCAGAGATGTGTAAGTTTGCTACCGAACAGAGAGATCGATTATGAGATCGATTTTGTTTATACTCCTTGTGATATTTGTCCGGATTCGAGGGCGAATCCTTTTAAAGAGGGGGAGTATGATACGATCCCCACAAGCTCAAAGATGAAGAACTGGAAAAAGAGAAAACGAGTGAGATTAATGGAGCTGTTCGTGTTGGAGTTGAAGAGTAAAGGTTTGAATCAGGCATTTGAAGAGTCTTTGTTGAGGAATTGGAAGAAAAGGACGAGGAAAATTCGTTGGACAAGTCGAATTCCATGCATCCGAGATTCACGCCTATTCTGGCAGAGTTTACCATTCGAGTTATTACTCTCACATCTGAAGTCTATTTATTCTGATTCAAAATGATTCAGAAAGCTAACTGAAAGATCTACAACTTTCATGTTTTGAGCAAAGAGATATTCGAAGTGGAACAGTGTCGAAATTGAGCATTAATGGCATGCTTGTGCACAACCCAATGTCGCGAGTTAAGAAGGGTGATCGAGAAGCCGACTTGAAGATCAAGTTATCTAATTTATTTATGCACGTTTTTAATTTAGTATTTATTATGTTTTTATTATTTTAGGGTCTTTTATGGTTTAGGATTTTCTTTTTTATTTATTTCTTTATTATAGTTTAGGTAGGAGTCCTTTTCCTTGTGAAAAAGGAGCCTTTTTAGATCTTATAAATAGGTTGCCAATTTGCACTACAACAAAATTAGGTTTTTATAGCACATTGTTATAGAGTTTTTATAGTAAATGCTACTAGTTTATAATACATAAAGAAACGCTATAACTGGGCCGCGGAAAAAAAAATCGCTTAACACTCCTTTAAAAAAGACTCCGTCACTCACCCCTGTTCTTCAAACCTCATTTATTGAGGGGAAAAATTCTCAGTTCCGATCTGACATCTCTCTCCAATTGAGGTCGTCAATTAGCCTGCATCGTCTTGCCGGAACATTTCTAGCGGAATCCTTCTCTTGTCGGACATGTGAAATACTCCATCCGACCTTTCCAAAGTACTATGTCGGTCTCTCTACAAATTGATTTACCGAGACCGTCTTTACGATTTCCGGCCGTAATTGGTAACTCCGATTCTCTGTATTTTTCTGAATTTCAGTTTATTTGCAATAACCCCAAATTTCTATTGAGTTTCTTCCCCACCGAATATTAGATTGCTCTAGGGTTCTTAGAAGAAAATGAATACTGATTAGATTTTCAAAGTCATTATTCCCCTTGAATACGAAAACTCTTCTACCAAACAATTTGTAAGTTTATGAATATCTATGTAACACCCCGCCTTTCCGGTAAAATGATGTTATTTTATTTTACCAACTCTATGTGCATATTTGTGAAATTAGAATTTTAATAATTCTTGCATGATTAGTATTTACGTGAATTAGATAATTATGTGAATTATGTGCTTAGGTAATATTTCGAGATATATGTCGAAATATATTATTTTCATGAATTAGGATTTTTGCACATGAATTCAAATGAGCATTTCATCATATTTATGCATGCACAATTTTTTAGAAAAAAAAATGAATTTTCTCATGCATTTTAGGATTTTTAATTTATTTAGAAAATTTGAAAATCCTCCCCACATTTCTTGAATTTTCGGACACCACACACACACACACATGATTTTTAAATTGCATATTAATTAGTATTAAACATGCATTAGTGTGGTTGTACTTTGAGCATAGAAAGAAATACCCAAGCCTAGCCCCCTACTTTATAGACTAGGCATGCTTTTCACTCCACTTTAAGTAAGACCAAAGGTCTTTCTTCTTCTTCCTTCCTTCTTCATTTCGGCAGCCACACCCCACCACCATAGCCACCATTTTCTCAAGCTTGAACCACCCAAGAACCACCACAACTTCAATTTTCGAAAATTGCAAAATCATCCCCAACCCACCTAAAGATTTAATTGCCAAGAAGCCCCTCCTCAATACTTACCCATTAAGGTTGCAAGCCTCCCCACTCTATAAATAGAACCCATTACCAAGTGTTTTCTCATCTCCCCACTACAATCCTAAGAAATCTCTCTTCTCTTCTTTCTTCTTCCATTTTCGAAATTAGTAGTAGAAGAAGCTCAAAATATTTTCTTCAAGAGATTCTTGAATTTGAATGTAAGAGCTTCATCTCCTCTTTTATTCGAAAATTTCCTCTTCCTTCTTCATATTGGTTTGTAATCTAACTCTTAATCTCTTCTTGTATTAGAGAGAAAAGAGCTAACAAATCCTTCCCCTAAAGAGTATAGGTGAGAATTCTTGAATTCTTGCTCAAACCTACAACACCACTAGTATTTTCGGTTTTTATGTGTTTTTATGGATTTCTATGTGTTTTTATTGTTTATTATGTGATTATATGTTTTAGATGATGATTGCATGTTAGTATTTTGAAAAGATAACCTTGTTCTAGAAATTCTATGAAACTTTCGAAAATTTGGGGAAAAATGTTTTAAATGGCTTATTTGGTTTAATTAGTGCCTTGCATGTGTTGATCTAGTGTTTGATTGTTGAATTTTGGAAAGAAAATGAATTTTTTGGCCTAGCCATGAAACTTTCGAAAATTTGGGGAAAAATGTTTTAAATGGCTTATTTGGTTTAATTAGTGCCTTGCATGTGTTGATCTAGTGTTTGATTGTTGATTTGTGAAAAGAAAATGAATTTTTGACTTAACTAAGGAACTTCGAATTTTTTTGGTAAAATGCTTAAAATTGCTTATGTGGTTTATTTTGTGTTTTGCATGTGTTGATCTTGTGTTGATTGTTGTTTTAAGGCCTTGCATGTTAAGGTTGGTGATTGATTGTCGATCCAAGGTCTTGCATGTTAAGATCTAGTGATTGATGGTTGATCTAAAGTCTTGCATGTTAAGATCTAGTGTTTTCTATGAAAAATGGTTAAGAACTAAGAATTTGTGCTAATTTGATTTAAAATACTCTTGCATGTGAAGATCTAGTGTATTTGCTTGAATAAATGTAAAGATGGAAGTCTTGAATTTTATTCTTGTAAAAATGCTAGATCTAGTGAACTTTGATGTTAGAATGTTTTTGCATGTTAAGATTTCGGTTATTTCTATGTTTTTATGACTAAATGATTTTGTGAAACCTTATGTGTATTTTCTATGTGCTCCTATGTGCTCTTGCTTGCTTATGTGAATCATTGGGTGTGAAGATGAGAGAAAGGTAAGTAGAAAGGGTGCATGGGTGGGTGCATTAAGTGTCATGAATTTAAAAAAAAAAAGATAAAGCTATGTTGGATAGTCTTTCGAGGTTACGGTAAATTTCTCGGGTACGGCGAGCCTGGTACCGTAGGGCCTAGGGGTGGTTTGATCCCACGTAGTTAGTCATGGTTCGAATTATATGGGGTTATTTACCGGTAACTTAGATTGACTCTTCCGAGGGATTCCCGACAATTTTTCATGTCATGCATGTTGCATTTCGGTGTTGTTGATATAGGTGGGGAAATCTCACTCTATGGTCTTGGGACCGTAGGGTTATAAAGGTGGGAAATCCCCCCTATAATCTTCAATACGTGTCATGGCATAGGGTTATAAAAGTGGGATATTCTCACTCTATGGTCTTGGGATCATAGGGTTATAAAGGTGGGAATTATCTCACTCTATGCGTGGTGGCAATTATGTGAATGAAGATCGCCGACGAAAAAGGGAAGTATATGATTGTTTTACTTCGTGTTGTATGTTCATGTATAAGATATATGTATGTATATATATATATATATATAGATGTATGCTCTATGTGCTATGTGTATTCGATATTACTTCAAGATTCTCATTGAGTCCTCAAAGACTCATATAGGTGTTGTATGTTTGTAGGTATACCCGATTTGGGGCCCGAGGAGTGAAGTTGGGGATCGAGCTCGAGAATCGGAAGGAGATCGTATGGAGGGGTTGTGGATAGTGTTGGCTCTTAATCTAGTTATGTGGTTTTATTTGTATAATATGCTTATAAAAACTTTTGATACGGTTTTAGGTATTTTCTACCGTTCGCTTCCTCCGATCGGTGGAAATTATTAAAAGACGATATGTGTAATAGTAATTAGGATTACCCTATTTTGGATAATTAATCGGTAATCCGTAGCCTTTTGTAAGCGAAAGTAAATTTTCACTATTTATATGCATGCATGCTTTCGACTAGTAATTTCTTCGTGTTTTGTATCCATGTTCTAAAATTATTTTCATATAGGTTCTCTGCTTAGAAAATCATGAAATTTTAGGAGTCTCTGCATCTCTCTGTTCTCATCATATTGATAGGTCTTGTGCATGATTTGGGTAAGTATTTATTTAGTTATGATTTGTTTCTCACCACTGCATTGAAACAGGGTTATTCGGGTGTTTTCTGGTATAACCGGAGTTTCACTCACTCAAATGCCTTGTTTCCACTTGGAAAATGTTTTCAACTTACCTTTCTGCCTTGGGGTAAAATTTGGTAGTTTTTGGGTCAGTGAGGAATTTATTATGAGTTTTCAAAACCCCCTCCTCTGTTCTGGATTTTAAACAGAGTGACTGTGCCATTTTATTTATTTCTCCTAAATGGCCATGCATCTTTCAAAACTGTTTTAATTGAGTGATATAGACCCGTGTTAGATGGTATGGTATAATTTTGGGGTTATTTTCATGAGTAGTTTAAGAGGAATTAATTTTTAAAGCTTCTGCATTGAATCTGTCCGCATTTGCATTAAGTTCATCATGCCTAGTTAATTTCTAGTCTTGCATGTAGTATGCTTTTGTGTTAAATATTTGATTAGGGTTTAGCAAGCTGTGCCCTCTCCCTTTGATTTAAAAAGAAAAATTTTTACGTAAATTTTATATCCACAAAAATCATGTTTTCAAAAGTCTTCCGCTGAGATTACATATAATAAGGGTAATCGAGAGAGGGGTGTCACAACAGACATGGTATCAGAGCAACGATCCCGGAAACCTCCATACGACCTAATGATCTTCACGATTCTCAAAGCACGACTCCAACTGAGCACTCGGACAGGTATATGTTTTATGTGAATTTTTATGGCTAATGTGAATTATTTGTATATGTTTAAGTATTAGAATGTCGGTAGCAAGAACTCGAGCTCAAAATGCCGCTAACGATCCTCACAATCAATCTCGTACCATCCAAGACCTCACCGCCCTCGTCCGAGAACAAAATGAACAAATCAACCGCCTTGTTAACCTTCAAAACCGAAACCCTCCTCCTCCTCCTCCTCCCCAACCTAGAAATACAGCCCCACAAGCCACCTACGAGCGATTTTTGAAAATGCATCCTACCGAATTCCACGGCGGCCCTAGTCCAACTGTTGCGGAAGAATGGATCAAATCCCTCGAAGTTATTTTCGAGTACATGGTGATGAACGATAGCGACCGAATCCATTGCGCACTATTCTTATTGAAAAACGAAGCCCGAAATTGGTGGGAAGGCGCAAAGAGTGGAATCGATCTAGCAAATACCACTTGGGAAGCTTTCAAAGTTCTTTTCTTTGAAAAGTATTTTTCCAAAATTGTCCGACCACAAAAGCTTAAGGAGTTTCTCGAACTCAAACAAGGAAACCTAACCGTTGCCGAATTCACACGCCGTTTCGAGCAAGGAAGCCTCTACGCACCTTTCATATCCAAAGACGACACCGAAAAGATGAATCACTACCTAAGAGGCCTCAACCCGATAATCAAGCGCGACGTTCGACTAACCTCTGCCTCTACTTTCCGCGGAGTAGTGGACAAAGCCTTGGAAGCCGAACAAGACGAGATGGAAATACGACAATGGAGACCTCCTCATGATGCCTCTTCTCGACCATGGAAGAAACCGAACCTCAACAACGCCAAAGGAAAGCAACCGATCAACCGAGCAACCGTGACCCCGAGCAACAAGCCCTTTTGCCCTAAATGCAAGCGAGAACACTCAGGCGATTGTGTTGCCGGAACCAACCACTGTTTTCGATGCAAGAAGCCCGGACACATGGTCCGAGACTGCCCTATCGCCCCAAGACAAGTGCCGGGACGAGTATTCGCCATGACAAGAGACCAAGCCGAAGCTGACCCGTCAATGATCGCAGGTACCGTTAATGTGTATAATAATTTTGTGTATGCCCTCATCGACTCCGGATCAACTCACTCATTCATCTCAAGTACCCTCGTTGCCGAACTCCGCCTAGTCCGTAGCCAAGCCGATGCCTTGTTTAGTATACTTATTCCTTCCGGTGATGAACTTAAATCAAATTTCATCATCAAATATTGCCCTATTCAGATTCATAACCAAACCCTAGCCTCCGATCTGATCATCCTACCCATTAAACATTTCGAAATAATCCTCGGAATGGATTGGTTATCAAAATTCGACGCCCAAATCAATTGCGCCCACAAAACCGTTCGTTTCTCCTTACCGAATGGAAGTTCTCTCGAATTCCGAAGCTCGTACAATCCGTCGATTCCTATCATTTCCGCCATCAAAGCGAGCAAAATTATTCAAAAAGGACATCTATGTCATTTGGTCGACATAGTGGAAACCCTCAACGAAGATAAAGCCAACTTTCCAAAGTGCCAACCGTTTGCGAATTTCCCGATGTCTTTCCCGAAGATCTCCCAGGTCTTCCGCCCGATCGCGAAATCGAATTTGAAATTAATTTGATCCCCGGTTCCGCTCCTATCTCGATGGCAGCTTATCGCATGGCGCCGTTAGAGCTAAAGGAACTCAAGGACATAATTCAAGATCTTATCGACAAGAAGTTCATCCGCCCTAGTTTTTCCCCATGGGGTGCTCCGGTACTCTTCGTGAAAAAGAAAGACGGAAGCCTCCGAATGTGTATCGACTACCGAGAACTCAACAAGGTCACCGTAAAAAACAAGTATCCATTGCCACGAATTGACGACCTTTTCGATCAACTTCAAGGCTCCACGGTCTATTCCAAAATCGACCTTCGTTCCGGATATCATCAATTGAAGATCAAGAAGGAAGATATTCCGAAAACCGCGTTTCGGACTCGCTACGGCCATTACGAATTTGTAGTGATGTTGTTTGGTCTAACCAACGCCCCAGCCGCTTTCATGGATCTCATGAATCGAATCTTCCGCAAATACCTCGATCAATTTGTGATCGTATTCATCGACGATATCTTGGTGTATTCAAGAAATGACGAAGAACATCGGAATCATTTGGAAATGGTGCTCCAAACCCTCCGAGAGAACCAACTCTATGCGAAGTTTTCCAAATCTAAGTTTTGGTTAAGACAAGTCCACTTTCTTGGTCACGTAATTTCCAAGGAAGGCATAGCCGTCGATCCAAGCAAAATTGAAGCCGTTTGTAACTGGTCAATTCCTCGTAATGTCGGAGAAATCCGAAGTTTCCTCGGCCTCGCAGGCTACTACCGACGGTTCGTTCCGAACTTTTCCAAAATAGCCGCTCCACTCTCTCGTTTGACCCGAAAGGAAGTCAAGTATCAATGGACTCCCGAATGCGAGTCTAGTTTCCAAGAACTCAAGAAGCGATTAACCTCAGCACCAATCCTCGCTCTACCGGATAAGACCGGAAACTATGTTGTCTATAGTGACGCCTCCAAGCACGGGCTCGGAGCCGTCCTAATGCAAAACGGGAATGTAATTGCCTATGCCTCTAGACAATTAAAAGACTACGAGAAGAATTATCCGACGCACGACTTAGAACTCGCGGCAGTCGTGTTCGCCCTCAAAATTTGGAGACATTACCTTTACGGCGAAAAATGTTCGATCTTCACCGACCACAAAAGTCTCAAGTACTTCTTTACTAAAAAAGAACTCAATATGAGGCAAAGAAGATGGCTTGAATTAGTCAAGGACTATGATTGCGAAATCCTTTACCATCCCGGTAAAGCCAACGTTGTCGCCGGCGCTCTTAGCCGAAAATCCATGTCCGCCTTGATCATTAAACCGCCGCTCGAATCAACTATCAAGTCCGCTCAAGACCATGATGATCAACTTGTCAAAATCCGAGAAGGCTTAGCAACCGGTCAAAATTCAAATTTCTCAATGACCGACGGCAAAATCTTGAAATTTCAAGGGAGAATTTGCATTCCGGCGAACAAGGAGATAAAGGGATTAATTCTCGACCGAATTGGTGGCCAAGCCTATCGCCTAGCCCTACCGCCTCAACTATCCAAATCCACAATGTCTTTCACGTCTCCATGCTCCGAAAATATATTCCCAACCCTAACCACATCCTTGAAACCGAACCCCTCGATTTATGCCCGAACCTATCCTTTACCGAAGAACCCTCCCAAATATTAGACCGAAAAGTTAGGAAACTCCGAAACCAAGAAATTCGCCTAGCCAAAATCCTTTGGAAAAACCATTCTCCGGATGAGTCAACGTGGGAACTTGAGGATGAGATTGTGAATTGTTATCCGGAACTAATAGAAAAAGGTACAAATTTTGGGGACAAAATTTTTTTAAGGGGGGAAGATTGTAACACCCCGCATTTTCGGTAAAATAATTTTTACCACCTTTATGTGCATATTTGTGAAATTAGAATTTATAATAATTCTTGCATGATTAGTATTTACGTGAATTAGGTAATTATGTGATTATTATGTGAATTATGTGATTATGTGAATTATGTGCTTAGGAAATATTTCGAAATAGTATGTCGAAATAAATTTTTCATAAACTAGGATTTTATTCTTGCATGTAATTTAAATGAGCATTTCATCATATTTATGCATGCACAAAATTTTAGAAAATAAATTTTTATCATGCATTTTAGGATTTTTAATTAATGTCGAAAATTTGAAAATCCTCCCCACATTTCTTGAATTTTCGGACACCTCACACACACACACATGATTTTTAAATTGCATATTAATTAGTATTAAACATGCATTAGTGAGGTTGTACTTTGAGCATAGAAAGAAATACCCAAGCCTAGCCCCCTACTTTATAGACTAGGCATGCTTTTCACTCCACTTTAAGTAAGACCAAAGGTCTTTCTTCTTCTTCCTTCCTTCTTCATTTCGGCAGCCACACCCCCACCACCATAGCCACCATTTTCTCAAGCTTGAACCACCCAAGAACCACCACCACTCCTATTTTCGAAAATTGCAAAATCACCCCCAACCCACCTAAAGATTAAATTGCCAAGAAGCCCCTCCTCAATACTTAACCATTAAGGTTGCAAGCCTCCCCATTCTATAAATAGAACCCATTACCAAGTGTTTTCTCATCTCCCCACTACAATCCTAAGAAATCTCTCTTCTCTTCTTTCTTCTTCCATTTTCGAAATTAGTAGTAGAAGAAGCTCAAAATATTTTCTTCAAGAGATTCTTGAATTTGAATGTAAGAGCTTCATCTCCTCTTTTATTCGAAAATTTCCTCTTCCTTCTTCATATTGGTTTGTAATCTAACTCTTAATCTCTTCTTGTATTAGAGAGGAAAGAGCTAACAAATCCTTCCCCTAAAGAGTATAGGTGAGAATTCTTGAATTCTTGCTCAAACCTACAACACCACTAGTATTTTCGGTTTTTATGTGTTTTTATTGTTGATTCTTGCATATTATGTGATTATGTGTTTTAGATGATGATTGCATGTTAGTATTTTGAAAAGATAGCTTTATTCTTGAAATTTTATGATTTTTCGAAATTGGGGAAAAATGTTTTAAATGGCTTATTTGGTTTAATTAGTGTCTTGCATGTGTTAATCTAGTGTTTGATTGTTGATTTTTGAAAAGAAAATGAATTTTTGGCCTAGCCATGAAACTTTCGAAAATTTGGGGAAAAATGTTTTAAATGGCTTATTTGGTTTAATTAGTGCCTTGCATGTGTTGATCTAGTGTTTGCTTGTTGATTTGTGGAGAAAACATTTATCTTTTGGCTTAGCTAAGGAACCTTCGAATTTTTGAGGTAAAATGCTTAAAATGGTTTATTTGGTTTAATTGCTACTTTGTATGTGTTGATCTTGTGATTGATTGTTGTTTTAAGGCCTTGCATGTTAAGATTGGTGATTGATTGTTGATCTAAGGTCTTGCATGTTAAGATCTAGTGATTAATGGTTGATCTAAAGTCTTGCATGTTAAGATCTAGTGTTTTCTATGAAAAATGGTTTAAGAACTAAGAGTTTGTGCTAATTTGATTTAAAATACTATTGCATGTGAAGATCTAGTGTATTTGCTTGAATAAATGTAAAGATGGAAGTCTTGGATTTTATTCTTTTAAAGATGCTAGATCTAGTGAACTTTGATGTTAGATTGTTTTTGCATGTTAAGATTTCGGTTATTTCTATGTTTTTATGGCTAAATGATTTTGTGAAACTTCATGTGTATTTTCTATGTGCTCCTATGTGCTCTTGCTTGCTTATGTGAATCATTGGGTGTGAGGATGAGAGAAGGGTAAGTAGAAGGGTGCATGTGTGGGTGCATTAAGTGTCATGAATTTTTAAAAAGATAAAACTATGTTGGAAAGTCTTTCGAGGTTACGGTAAATTTCTCGGGTACGGCGAGCCGGTACCGTAGGGCCTAGGGGTGGTTTGATCCCACGTAGTTAGTCATGGTTCGAATTATATGGGGTTATTTACCGGTAACTTAGATTGACTCTTCCGAGGGATTCCCGACAATTTTTCATGTCATGCATGTTGCATTTCGGTGTTGTTGTTATAGGTGGGAAAATCTCACTCTATGGTCTTGGGACCGTAGGGTTATAAAGGTGGGAAATTCCCCCTATAATCTTCAATACGTGTCATGGCATAGGGTTATAAAAGTGGGATATTCTCACTCTATGGTCTTGGGATCATAGGGTTATAAAGGTGGGAATTATCTCACTCTATGCGTGGTGGCAATTATGTGAATGAAGATCGCCGACGAAAAAGGGAAGTATATGATTGTTTTACTTCGTGTTGTATGTTCATGTATAAGATATATGTATGTATATATATATATATAGATGTATGCTCTATGTGCTATGTGTATTCGATATTACTTCAAGATTCTCATTGAGTCCTCAAAGACTCATATAGGTGTTGTATGTTTGTAGGTATACCCGATTTGGGGCCCGAGGAGTGAAGTTGGGGATCGAGCTCGAGAATCGGAAGGAGATCGTATGGAGGGGTTGTGGATAGTGTTGGCTCTTAATCTAGTTATGTGGTTTTATTTGTATAATATGCTTATAAAAACTTTTGATACGGTTTTAGGTATTTTCTACCGTTCGCTTCCTCCGATCGGTGGAAATTATTAAAAGACGATATGTGTAATAGTAATTAGGATTACCCTATTTTGGATAATTAATCGGTAATCCGTAGCCTTTTGTAAGCGAAAGTAAATTTTCACTATTTATATGCATGCATGCTTTCGACTAGTAATTTCTTCGTGTTTTGTATCCATGTTCTAAAATTATTTTCATATAGGTTCTCTGCTTAGAAAATCATGAAATTTTAGCACTCTCTGCATCTCTCTGTTCTCATCATATTGATAGGTCTTGTGCATAATTTGGGTAAGTATTTATTTAGTTATGATTTGTTTCTCACCACTGCATTGAAACAGGGTTATTCGGGTGTTTTCTGGTATAACCGGAGTTTCACTCACTCAAATGCCTTGGGGTAAAATTTGGTAGTTTTTGCGTCAGTGAGGAATTTATTATGAGTTTTCTAAACCCCCTCCTCTGTTCTGGATTTTAAACAGAGTGACTGTGCCATTTTATTTATTTCTCCTAAATAGGCATGCATCTTTCAAAACTATTTTAACTGAGTGATCTAGACCCGTGTTAGATGGTATGGTATAATTTTGGGGTTATTTTCATGAGTAGTTTAAGAGGAATTAATTTTTAAAGCTTCTGCATTGAATCTGTCCCCATTTGCATTAAGTTCATCATGCCTAGTTAATTTCTAGTCTTGCATGTAGTATGCTTTTGTGTTAAATATTTGATTAGGGTTTAGCAAGCTGTGCCCTCTCTCCCTCTGATTTAAAAAGAAAAATTTTTACGTAAATTTTATATCCACAAAAATCATGTTTTCAAAAGTCTTCCGCTGAGATTACATATAATAAGGGTAATCGAGAGAGGGGTGTCACAGACGAACCCCATGGGACATTGGCAAGAATCCCTTCTTGGATTCTTCCATGCTAGACCGTTTAAGAACGGTGTCTATGTACATGGATTAGGACAAGCCAAGCAATCTCCTCGATCTATCTCTATAGTGTTAGAGTAGGTGACCAACAAGCCAACTTGTGGCTGTGGTCTTTCGTATTTATTATGGTAATAAACGAACCTTTATTCGTATTAATGATAAAACACCTTGGCATTCTATATCTTTGTCCCTTTGTCACAAGCATAGATATAGTCCTTACAGTTATTACAAGTACTAGTAATTGATTGTTAGGATCGTGAGATATTTACTTAAGTATTATAACTGTTAAACGTGTTCCTAGTCGAAGGGTTACGCCACCAATGAGGATATCGGCCTTTCCCATTAGAAGACTAGCACTTAGTGTATGTGTACTGCATCTCATCAGTAAACGGTATTGTGATATCGGCATGCATAAGTGGGTGCTCGTAAGTTGACGAGTTCACTGAACTCCCTCACCCTAGAAATCTCTAAGTGGTTCCCAATAATCGAGTAGAGATATCTATGGTATAGTTGTACACCATTAGTCCTTATGACCTAGACATCACCGTGACTTCACTAGAGGACCAGCTGTATCGTGACCTGTCTCTGAGTTCCACCGAGGACCATCCCAAGGGCCAGTGTTCGTGCAGTCCGAAATCTAGTGGGAGGTCTGTGCATTGTAGTCGGGGATTCGATCGCTAGAATAGTCTTGGATGTCCTGTGTGTTCTGATAGTTTGTAATCATTCTAAGTCTCTGGCCAGAGCTGACTAAGTGATGATTAGAGGATTCGATTCTCTAAGTCATGCACGTGACGATTACAATACTTGGAACGATCGCACCGTCATCGAACATATAAAGAGGTCTCGATGAACCAATGCCTCTAGTTCGATCGGGACATATGTATCGAAGGGACCGTACTGTACGTTAACTATATCTGAAGGTTCTTGCAGGCACTTCATTTGTATCTAGGGAATCATGACGCGTAGTTGCTAGACGCCAATCTTGATTCGTTGGGTGATTAAGGTGAAACGAGTTTCATCTTAATCGTAACTCTAAGGGGACGAGTTTTGACCACAAAGGGTTGTGGGCCCACGGCTAGCTTACACCTGAACCATCGAGGGTCACACTGCTCGTGCACATGAGATCTTTGAATAAACGGTCAAAGGTAAAATATGTTTATCTTTGCATGATTGGAAGTCAA